GGAAATGACACAACGGCACTTAACAACAACAACAACAACAACAACAACAACCCAGCTGAAACTTTTCTCACATTTGTCCTTTAGAACATCTCATATTAGCCTTCCTTAACAGTGAATGGGGGAAAAATAAACCCATATTCCCTGGACAGGGGGAATTTTTTCCCCTCATGATGGGAAGCAGTCTCCCAAACCACAGTGTCCCGGGAACTATGGCCTGGGGCTGGAGCTGGGATTTCAGCCAAGGAGCAGGGAAAGGGTAGGAGATGGAGGATGCTTGCATTTACAGCTTCTGAAATTCTGGGCTCCTGTCTACCCAAGGCCCAAAAGAAAGGACTTTTGTGGGCTCTAAATGGACAACACTGGGAAGACCCCTGCCAGGGCATGCCCTTTCCCTCTAGGACTCTAAAGGTTACCTGTTCCTTGAGAGAGAAACTAGTTCTAAAGCAGGAATTAAGAGAGAGTGCTATAGAATTAATTACTTTTGCAGTGAATAGAAATTGGGGTAGGAGAGAGTGAGGCTATCATTTGGGGCCTATGTCCTTGACAGGAATCTTGAGTTTACCAGTAGCCAAGGAAGTCCATTTATTTGCCTGCAGCAGGAAAGGAGAGAGAAAAATATGTTCTTATGAAGGGCTACTATAGGCATGGGAGCTCTTTTAGCATAGTGCCAAAGGCAATTGACTGCTAACCAGAAGGCTGGCAGTTCAAACCCACCAGCCACTCCTTGGAAGGAAGGTTGGGCAAGCTACTTCCATAGAAATACTGCCTTGGAAACCCAAGGAGGGGTTGTTATGAGTCAGGTCTGACTTGACGGCACATAACATCAACATTATAGACATAGGGAACTCTCTCTTGGAAAACTGTCCCATCCTCATTTTACATGAGATTAATAAACCCACACTCACCAGTTTGTCTGTTTTCCTACAGAGGGTTGGGAGGAGGATAAGTAAACACCATTGGCACCTAGTGCTGAAGTGAGATGGGCTCATTCTGGGGAAGAGCTCACAGAGGTGTGTGTGCCAATTTCTGTGCTGGAAATGATCAGAAAATAATTCTTATCTTACATCTTTAGCCTGCTTAATAGTTTTCAATGGGCTTGTATTGCTTTAATTTAGTCACATGAGAAGGATTGAGTGCAAGGCCTGCGTGCCTACAAACTTAATACAATTTAGCTATTAAAATGTTAACATTTCGTTCATTGAACATTTCATCCACTTAGCAAACATTTGTTGTGCATCCACTATGCTATGTTTTTCTAAACCCAGGGAGATTATACAGCATTGGAAGAAATTCCTTATAAGAGAAATATGAGGCCATAAGAAGTTAAAAGCACATCTAGACTAGGCTGATGGAGGGAGTTAGGTACAGAACTGGGCATAAAAAACACCGCCTCCTCCCCCCCCCCCAAGCAGCAGAGATGTCCCCTCCTTCATCTCTGAGGAAGGCTTAGATGTGCACTTGCCCTGGAAATGATGGGGCAAATGGCTCAGGGCCCTGCCGTAATTTTTCTGGCATGCCCTGGCATCCACATAGATTAGTACTGAGATTCTGGAGGCTGGGGCACACCTCTAAGGCTCCCACGAAACTACAGTGATTTTTCCACTATCCAAACAGGAAACAGGGCTGCCTCAGCTCTCATGAAGTGAATTTCATTTAGGCACAAGATCCAGGAAAGCTCCAACAATGAGGGCAAGGTCTTTAATTTAAAGTAGATTTTAAAGGTTTAGCAGTGAACAACCAGATTTCATTTTGCTTTTTATTGATGGATTGATTAATACATTCATTCATTTAATAAATATTTATTAACCATCTATCCTATAGCTCTATAAGGAGCTCTGGTAGTATGGTGCCTAAGGCATTTGACTGCTAACCAGAAAGTTTGCATTTCAAATCCAATAGCTGCTCTGCTACAGGAAGATGGGGCAATCTACTTCGGTAAAAATTTACCATCCCCAAAACCCACTATGAGTCAGAATAGACTTGATGGCAATGAGTTTGGTTTTTTTGATTATCCTGTGTTAGGCAGGACTCTTGACAGGACTGATATTAAGCTGGTATATACCAGTTATTTAGGAGGTCAGCATCCATTCTGACTGGTTGCTCGAATAATTTCTTTTAGAAGGATCAGCACAAAGCTGGTCCCTAGGAGATGGAGGTTAAAGATATCTGAAATGTCCAGCTTTCTAAATTGCTGTACTGCTCCATCATCTCTAACATCAGCTACTCTTCCTCCCTTAGTACTCTCCCTCCTGTCTTAGGGTTCTGTATTTCACTGTAATGTCTCAGACTCATGTACTGCCAAGGAAATGGCTCATGTGGTTGTGGAGGCTGGCAAGTCCTAAATCCATGGGTGAGACATCAGTCTGGAGGATTCTCCTCACACCTGGTTGCAGGGGCCAACAAACCCAAAGCAGCAGGTCTTACAACTGGCTGCTATCTTAATTCTCAAGAACCAGAGATCAGATGATGACAAATCAGATGTAGGATTGACAGCGAGAGTGAATTTTGCCAGAGCACTCGTATTTTGCATGCAGACCACACCTGCAAGGAAACTAAGTGTGGTGACGTGAGTCACATGCTCTAGTGAGGTGGTGAGTAAAGATACATCCCACCCTAATCCTGTCTCGTTAACATAGCAGATAACTCATTCCAAAATGAGACCATAACCACAGGCATGTTGTTGTTGTTGTT